AGGGCAGTGTTACCTGTAACATGAAAGCTTCTCAGAAATCGCTTCTCCCTCCTAGCCCTGAATAGTCTTAAAGGTGCAGCACTTCCCTGGAAGTACAGTAAATACATTTCCCAGTCTGCTTTTGTGCAACTAATTTCATGTCACAGTTGTCCTCTTTTTTTTTTTCTTTTTGGTATCAGGGATCGAACTCGGGACCTTCTGCTCTTGAGGCAGGCGTGGTGCCACTGAGCCAAATTCCCAGCCCACAGTTGGCCTCTTTTGTAGCAGTGTGGACTTGATTCAGTCGTTTAGTGTTATATCCTTTGTAAAGATCAGGGAGGGCAGGGGAATGGGGAAAAAATAAGAACCAAGATACATCATATAGAGGTACAAGTTCCCAATGATGAATGTCATTGTATTGTATACTTAAAATGTATCAATAAAAGATCAATTAGAGCAACTTACCTATTTTTATTAATGTATATATTTCTGCACACTTATTGTTCTTGAAAGAAGTAGAGGAATCTTATTAAAAATTATGTTATTAATATTAGGTTGAAGTATGACATACGACATCCACACATTGTGTTGGAAATTGATACAATGGCCTGTTCAAGAACACAATGTCTTTCTTTCTATGTTAAACTTCTGTCCTTAGGTAAACTTTGGTTCTTTTCTGTGGATTACTCACGTGGCTGGTGAGTTTTTGTTTTGACATTTCATATGTTTATTGCTCTTATGAATGAAGTTTTTTCTGGAGCTGATTTAGCACCTTAGTCTGCCAGAGACAAGTGATGCTGCTGCAGACCCACTCGCTGGCTAGAGAGGAGGCGGCTTCACGGTTTAACTTAAACACAACTGCCGTGAAGCACTCTTTTCCCCAAGCCACATCCCAAATTCAGTTCTGCTCTGCTCCAGCAATCACACCATGAGAAGGTCATCAATCCCATCTCCCAGCGCCACCACAGCGGGAATCAAAATTAATCACAAATTAAACTATAGCAGTTTAACCATATTTAAGCTATAGTGGTATCCAAAGGAAAAGATAGACAAGAAGGAAAATCAGCCCATTTCATCAGAGAGAAACCAGCAGAGAGAATCAAATGGAAATGCTAGAAATAAAAAATACATGGATAGAAACAAGGAATACATTTGATGAGGTCATTAGTAAACTTGACGTAGTCAAGGGAAGAATCAATGACTTTGAAATAGGTCCATAAATATTACTCAGAGTAAAATACAATGAGGAAAAAAAGAAGAAATGAAGAAGTTCTGAAAATAAAGGTGATATAAGATGGTTTCAGGCTATCCATATGGTACCATTCAATATGGATTCCACAACTGGCTATCACTGGATGTGGTGATTGTCCCTCCAACATGCTGTAGTTTTGTCTTTGGTGAGCAATTCCTGACAACCCTTTAGTGACACTTGCAGACTTTTGTTTTGTCTCTCATTTTCTACTCATGTCTGTATCCTCTCTGATTCGAACTTCTTCAAGGTAAGAACCATGGATTGTGCTTTCAGTTCTGAAGCCCCGGACCATAACTACAAAATATTATTAAGTGTCAGAATTCGCCATCTGGGATCTGTTGGATTTTTGGAACAGGAGATGGAACTACCAACAACAAAACCATGTCCATGTGTTGGAGCTCAGACACCGAGGAACTCCGATCATGCTGGGGAGGAACGTGGGGCACTCAGGCATGTGGTCCATGGCAGGGCTTTTACACAAATGGCAGCAAATGGCAGGAGCTGCAATGAGGAGCAGATGATCCTTCTTCCTCCAAGTCAAACCAAGGAAGATGAAATGTGATCCTGGATTCCGCCATTACAGCCCATGTATCCCACAAACCTTTATTTGCTTTCTTCCTTTCATCAGTTCATATTACACTCAGATTTCCATATCTGTAAGCTCTCAGCCAGTAGGACCAGCTTCCAAGGTCAGAAATGATAGCTGAGTCATAGTCCAAGCACGCAATGGAGGGAAAATAAGGTGGATTCACGATCAAACACATCTCATATGCTCTCCCACCTCACTTTCCCTCCATGATGAGATAAAAAGGAGGGATTCTAGACCATCATTATTCTATTTTTTAAAGTCCAGTGGTGGCAAAGCTATGGCATGAGTGTTATTTGTTTTTCCTTTCACATAAAAGATGTTAGTGTATGACTTGTTTTTTTCTACACTAAAACCTCAGTATTCAGGTTTAATTGCAGTGTCAGCACTTTGCAATAAATAAGTTGGTTTGGGGTGACAGTCTGGGGACTCGGTCTCTCAAAAGTTAGCCATCACTGAACCAAGGTGAGAAATACCAGGAAGAATTTTGCTTTGTAATGATGTTAAAAACATGAATTCACAATTATCCTATTAGAAGCTAATGTGTACATAGCTCATTACAGTTTGCAGGGACTTTTACAAATCATGTCTTCATTCATGAAGGTGGTCCTGTGAGGTGTGCATTTTTTTTTTTTTTTTTGCTACCAGGGATGGAACTCGGGTCCTTGCGCTTGCGAGGCAGGCGGTGGAACCACTGAGCTAAATCCCCGGCCCAAGGTGTGCATTCTTAATGAAGTCTTCCAGAGTTGAAGTGGCTTTTAACCAAGTCACTCTATTACTTTTGACTACTTTCCTCCCTTTGTTTATCTCAGGTGTTTGTCTTTGTTTTCTCTAAAATGTGACCTGGAGAGAAAACTTTGTATAAAAACAAAGGGCTTATTTCATATGGGTAACGAAAAAATTAATATAACTCATCTGAGAGTTGACATAGGGGAAGTATGTAAAGATGTTTCATAAGGCTTAGAAAATCTGGGGTATTTGCTTGATACATTTTTTATAAAAGATAATAATAATAATGTCAGCATTTGCACCATATTACTACTGGCATTAAGAAGGCCACTGGATTCTTCAGGAGATGCATTTCTTGATCGCTGAAGTGAACACCGAATAGTCCCCAATGACCCTTCTGGTGACAAGATGATGATCAGGTTCACATTTAACCACACTAAGCACAGACTCCAAGGGATGCTGACCGGAGGTGACTTCTGGAGTTTCTTGCAAGGAGCCCTCTGAAGGACTCAGTCTTCTGCTGTGCAGAAGCTGAGGCTAGCCCTGGGCCCTCGACCCGTACTGATGACAGTTTATCCCTTCGCCCTCTTGAGGTCCACACTGCCCTTACCCTAACCATGCAGGGCAATTTATGTGAGGTACACTGGGCTGAAGTGTTTGTCGGAACCATCTTCCTCTCAGGCCAGCCCACTGGTGGCTGCACTGAGTAAAAGATGCAGCAGGGATCTGGCAGTGCAGAGGACTCCAGAGACGGCTGGGCTGGGGCTGCAGCTGCAGCTGGCAGAAGTCCAGAGCACTGCCTTTTTGAAGACGTTTTAGCCAATCAGAAGCAGAGTTGCAAGCCGACACTTTGGTTGCTAGCTGAAAAGTCTGTGTGGAGAGGCCAGTGAGCCTGGGAAACCCCCCTGCGATGCAGCCTTTGCCTCACAGCCCAGGATGACCTGAGGAAACTTTCCCCTTAGGACTCGAGTAGGGGAAGGGCCCGAGCCCTCTGCTTATCTGGGTGGGGGCCATCTAAGGTGGGGCTAGGACGTGGAGGGCACCTTCAAGGTCCCTTTCTGGCCACCCTGTCTCCCACCCCACTCCAGTTCTGAGTGAGATGTTCTTTCCTTGCATGGCCATCGCTCCTACGGAGACCCCGACTCTCACCCCGACTGTGGGCACAGCACTGCTAGTGGGAGCCCAGCGGCAGCCTTCCCGGTATCAGGTGCCCCAGGTCTAGGCACGAAGACAGAATATTCTAATAACTCAGTCCTTTATCTGCCACTAGCGGAAACTTCTTTTTGTTGCTTCTTCCCTATTTTTGACTATTAAACTCCTTATATTCTGCTTTTAGATCTTGTTTTCTGTTTTAAAAGGAAAAAGTAAAATAAAGCATGGAGAAGCAGACAGAGAGAGAGAGAGAGAGGAGAGATTGATCCTGTCTTGGTGAGAGCTGTCATTAATGTTTGTCAGGCGCTATTCTAATTGATTCGTAATTAGAAATGGGTAAGAGGAGCCTGATGAATAAGACATTTATTTTAAGAACACTGATACTTAACACATCGAGGATTTCATGTTTGAGGCAGCACAGTACACCTCCGAGCATCCTTTGCTTGCTCCCCCATTAACACTACAGGCCTGGAAGAATGCTTCCCCACATCTTCTGTTTTCTGTCCTTGAAAGGGGACTTTGAAAGCTGCGGAAGTTAATGGATCCTTGTGCAGGATTAGGCAGCTGAGGAACTTATCAGAGCAGTGTCAGCCTAATTAATTTTTCACACACCTTCATCGAAATATCAGGAAGCAGTCGATTTCTGCTTAAGGAAGGATCCCTTGCTAGCAGGGCTAAGGGCCAGTGTTTTGCCTCTACTTTCCCACACGGTAACCTGATATTTCCAGCACTTACACAGGACAGTTACGGGACATTATGCGATGTTAACTAAGTCACATTACTCTCAAACGTGCATGAGTGAAGATCTAGATGTGAAAAGCACAAAACTTCATCCACACTTTACAGAGAAGCCTGAGCTAAAAAGAGGCTGACTTTCATTGACCCACAAAGCACATCGGCTGCAGCTCAAACCATTTTCCTCGGAGAACTCTGCTTTTCTCATGAAACCGTATGGCTCCTCAGAGGGTCTAACATAGTAAGAGTGACACCTCTGGGACAAGACTTTTCTGTCCCCTGAAAACTGACGTCCATTTATTTCCCCCTATTAAAAACTCCATTTAATTAAAAAAATAGGTTTACAAATATCACAAAGCTGTCAGACTGTACTCGAATTGCTTTTCTCTTTTGGCTTTTACCCCCTCAGGCATTCCGTCTCCACGCGAAGACGAGCTCTTCCCGGAGCAGTCTCCCTGCAGACATGGGCCCAGGACTGGGAGCCCTCATAAAAAACATCTGCCCGGAGACAGATGAGGCGCTTCAGCTCCAGTGCTGATTGGCTCCCTTCCTGGGGACGCACCAACCCTAAGCCCCATGGAGACAGTCACAGGTTTTTATTCTCCGAAGTGGGTGCAGCAGGCGTGAGCTGCTGAGGGCCATTACCTTCTCCTTCCCTCTCAGTCATGCCTGTCAGGATGGCTCTGCAGACCCCGAGAGGCCTTGGTACAGCAGCGGTGCTGGTGGTGCTGGTGGTGCTGAGCAGCCCAGTGGCTGAGGGCCGAGACACTCCAAGTAAGTAGGGGTGGCTGCTCCCAGACTGGTACCACACTCTGGGGAAGGGGCTCCGGGGGACCCCTGGGCTCGGTGCCCAGGGCGGTGAGCCCCAAGATCTCAGAACAGTCTTGCCTCACAGACTGCTCTGTTACATTGTCATTTCCATCGTCTACTGCAGCGCGAGAGCAGTGCCTACCCCACCGGCTCCAGGGGCAGGGTGTTATCGAGGGTGGGCCAAAGGGAGCAAGCGGTTGTTTTTGAAGAAAATAAATTTCTTCAAAGAGGATACCGCAGCATGTGTCATTATCGGGTGCCTTAGGGTCTCGTGTAGGGTAAATGCTCTGAGGTTCTGGGTGGGGACAGGTGGACCAGCAATGTCTCTGTACTCAGTGTTCGAGGAAAAGCCTTAATCTTCCCGAGCGGAGGTTTCAGGGAGGCAAACTCCAGGTATTTGAGTAAAGCCAAGGTAAAGGGAGTCTTAACTTTACGCTTCTCTGGTTTGTGGTCAAACAGGAACTTCAGAGGGACTCGGAGACGTGAGTTGAAACTGAGTTTAGAAAAAGGAGGCAGGAAGGGAAATATGTGCTGCACACTGAGAAACCACTGCTTTCAGACACGGGATCGTGGCTTACATCAGTTCGCTGTCTTCCCAACAGCCCCGTGTAGGCTTTATGACTTTCTTTTATGCAGTTGTACTTAGGAATTCGGCGCTCTGTTAAGCAACCCGTGCAAGCAGGCAACTCTCCCAGTTTAATTGGATCTAGTCTAATTCGAAACCTTGTGCTCTTTCCATGTGACAAAAGAAAATGAGAAAACAGCATATTCTTAAATAATAAAACATACATGAAATACTGTCTTTTCACACTAAAGGAATAAGGGAAGTGCAGTAAAATGGCTTGAGAGGTAAAGGATAAGAGATATGAAATAGGTAAGGAAGCTGTCCCGTGTGACCGTGAGTAGCAATTTAGAAGGTAGAGAAACCAAGGCAGGCAAGGCAAGCATGGTCTTTTATCAGTGTTACTTGTTCTCAAGGCTCCTCCTCTACCTTTCCTTCAACAATTATAATCTTTTTTCCTTCCTTCTTAGTTTCCATGAATAAACGCTCCTTTCTGGGGCTCGAAGTGTAGGTCTCGAGTGAGTGAACAGCAACAGAGCAAGCCCGTATTTTGCTCAAGGACCAGGAGAATATGCTCTTGGGGAGGGACAAGCTTGGTCCTAGACCTTTCTGCTCATTCCCCAAACTCTCAGACTTGCGTGTCTGTCCGTCCCCGAGGTTTCCTGCCCGTGGAAACAGAACTCGGGGGGCGGGAAGGCCCTGAGGCCTGAGGGCGGGATCAGTGCGAGGTCACCGGACGCCGGTCGGGGCTGGGCGGGTGGAGCCGGACCGCGCCTTCTGGGCCCCGAGTCCGCAGCCATGGCCTGGGCCGGGCCGGGTGCCCGGGGCCTGAGCGTCCGCCCGTGCTTCCCGCAGAGGATTCCGTGTACCAGTTTAAGGGCCAGTGCTACTTCACCAACGGGACGCAGCGGGTGCGGCTGGTGACCAGAAACATCTACAACCGCGAGGAGTTCGCGCGCTTCGACAGCGAGGTGGGCGAGTACCGCGCGGTGACCGAGCTGGGGCGGCGGAGCGCCGAGTACTGGAACAGCCAGAAGGAGATCCTGGAGCAGAGGCGCGCCGAGCTGGACACCGTGTGCAGACACAACTACGAGCTGGAGGAACTCTTCGTCCTGCAGCGCCGAGGTGAGGCCTCCTCCTTCGCCCGAGACCCCACGGGGGCGGCAGAACCGGGCCGGGGCCACCGAGGGGGAGGCGGGGCAGGGCGGACCCTGCAGCTCCCCGAGAGGCGCCGCTCCGCCCCGCCCGGCTCTTCCCGCTCCGCCCCGCCTCGCGCCTGCCTCGCCAAGTTTGCCAGGTCCTGCCCTCTGCCCTCTGCCCTCTGCCCCTCCTGCCCCTGCCCTTCTCCCTGGCCCCACTCCGAGCCACGCGCAGGCCACCCTCAGAGGAGGCTGAACAGGCCTGGTGGAGGGAGGGCTGCCCCGGGGTGCGATACATTACTGTCACGAAATAATTAACTCTGTTTTTCTTACATGGCTTGTTTGTCTTAGAACTAGGGTATTGAACCCAGGACCTTTGCACTGACCCGCATCCTCAGCCCTTTTTAAATCTTTCTTTCTTCTTTCTTTTTTGCTCTTTCTTCCTTCCTTCCTTCCTTCCTTCCTTCCTTCCTTCCTTCCTTTCTTTCTTTCTTTCTCTTTTCTTCCTGCCTTCTCTCTCTCTTTCTCTCTCGCACCAGGTCTTGGTAAGTTGCCCAGGATGGGCTGGAACTTGAGGTCCTCCTGCCTCAGCCTCCCAGAGTGCTAGGGTTACAGGGCTGTACCACCACACTGGTTTGTTTTAGAACTTTTTGAGGGAAGAGACTGTCTTGTGACTGCTGTACACTCACCTAATACCTGAATCCAAGTTATTACTGGCACATAGTGGCACTCAACCTTTGTCAAATTAGGGAAAATATGTACCCAGCCGCCTACCCACTTAGGCACAAGAGAAAGCAGGAGGGTAATATGTCCTTTACAACTTTTAAAATATTCATTGTCATTTTGCTTAAGGTTTTGAAGTAAACTGGTGTTTATTTGGATCTTAATAATTTACAATTTGTGAATATAAAATGTAAGGTGAAAAGTGTTTGCTAAAAACAAAAAGAATACTTGAATGATGTAAGGCAGGGTTTTAGTTTGTTAAGAAAAACCCAATAGATGGCACCATGGAAAGAGCTAACACTGAAGTCACTAAATGATTGAATAAAACTTGTTTCAGGTTGGTTTTGGCCTAGGCTCTCTCACTCCTGCTGCTTAGCACTTTGAAAATTAGTTTTTCCCATCTGATGAGCACGTGTTTCTAGACAGTTTCCCCACCCAACATGATCTGTTGTGCTTCTCGCCCTCACTCCTTGTGCGTTAGGGATTAGCATCACCTCTGTATATACACTCAGCGGTAGTGGGAATAATAAAAACTTTAGGTTATCAGCCCACAAGTACTCAGCAAGTCCTGAAACCTCCCCAAATACACAGCAGCCGTTGTGTCCTTCTCAACATGGATGCAAAATCTAACATGAGCAAAACCCGACCAAAGCTCATTATGGGCCTGTTCCTGCCTGTTTGAAACGACGATGGGACAAAATGATGCTTTCATTTCTTTTCTTTTTTGTACTGGGGATTGAACTCATAACCTTGGGCTTTCAAGGCAGGTGCAGCACCATTGAGCCAAATCCCCAGCCCCAAAATGATACATTCAAAGGCTTCAGAACTCACTGATTAATTAATCCCTAGTCTGACTCCAGTTTATGCATGGTTGCAAAATGTTGAATTTATACCTTTTGCCTTTTTCTAATCTATATCTTAAATACCACTAAATACTTACATTTTTGCTATTTCAGTTCTAGTTTATAAAAATTCTTCTAATAACTTCCTCATGAATTTGGGCCCTCTGTTTTTACTCCTAATCTGTTTAAGATGGGCGGATTTTATAAGTCCATACAGGTGGCTCTGACTTCAGTCTGGCTCCAGGAAGGGAAGCCTGAACAAAGGCTACAGGCTACATAGTAGGAAAGAAAACACGATTCACCAGATAATGGCCCGTGGGTGTCATTTAATCAGGTGTCAAGAGGGCCTGCCAACCTCAGTAACTCCGTTATACTTACTTTGCTGCACTATCTTCTCCTCAACCCAGGCCAAACTCTGCAAGAATCTTGGAATGTTTCCAATAGAGAACATTTCAGAACAAAGAAATAATTCTTCCTAGTAAGGGGACTGAGTAGAGTAGCTAACTAGAAATTAAAGTCACTTGAGTATAAAAGAAAAACAGGTAACAAAAGAAAATGAGAAAACAGCATATTCTTAAATAATCATACATGAAATACTGTCTTTTCACACTAAAGGAATAAGGGAAGTGCAGTAAAATGGCTTGAGAGGTAAAGGATAAGAGATACGAAATAGGTAAGGAAGCTGTCCCGTGTGACCGTGAGTAGCAATTTAGAAGGTAGAGAAACCAAGGCAGGCAAGGCAAGCATGGTCTTTTATCAGTGTTACTTGTTCTCAAGGCTCCTCCTCTACCTTTCCTTCAACAATTATAATCTTTTTTCCTTCCTTCTCAGTTTGTTGTCTGTTAGTAGACTGCAAGTTCTAAAAAAGCAGAGACTGTGGACTGTTGTGTTCATATTTTAGATTGTCAAATTTGTGTTTCTTGACTAACTCAACCATCCAGGTACTGGAATCCAGGGTTTCCCACTGTAGTACCAGGAGCGCCTCTTCCCTGTGGGCACTGGCCACGGGCCTTACACCTCACTCACCCTGTCTTTTTCTGTCTGTTGCCACAGTGGAGCCAATGGTAACCATCTCGCCATCCAAGACAGAGGCCCTGAACCACCACAACCTGCTGGTCTGCTCGGTGTCGGATTTCTATCCAGGCCAGGTCAAAGTACGCTGGTTCCGGAATGGCCAGGAGGAGACAGCTGGTGTCGTGTCCACCCCTGTTATTAGGAACGGGGACTGGACCTTCCAGATCCTAGTGATGCTGGAGATGACCCCCCAGCGTGGAGACGTCTACACCTGCCACGTGGAGCATCCCAGCCTCCAGAGCCCCATCACAGTGGAGTGGCGTAAGGGGGACTTTGTTTTCTTTCACTGCGGGTCCCATAAGACAGAGGGCTGAGCTCCCCCTGGCCTGTCCCTTGTCTTAGATGCCACTGCTGAGCTGAGAGCCACAGGAGACTAGACCCTCTTGCCCACAGCAAGGGTGTCAGAAGGATCCTCACCTAAGTATCTTTCTAGATACTAAGGAGATCAGTGCGGCCCTGGAACTGGCACTAATGGGGATGCACTATTATGGCTGGACTTGGGTCCTAGGGCCTAGCGTTATGGATGTGTATGTGAGAGTAACAGGTGGATATGTTGGCTGGTTCTTCCTTCTCCTAAAACGTTCAGAATAGCACAATGGTGGCTAACCCATGGCATGCATGTCGCAGCAGGCACACGGAGCCCTCCCTGTGGGCACATGAGCCAAGTCACCCCAGCAGCCAACCATCAGATTTTCGGGTTTAATTGCAGTGTTGGCACTTTGGGCTAAATAAGTGGGTTTTGGGTTGCACCTTGAGCACTCATCTCTAAAAGGTTTGGCATCACTGGAATAGAGAGACAGCTTCCCCCGGCCCCTCCAGATCTTGTAAACTGGACTTCAGGTCCTCACCAGGGACCCCGTGGGATGTGGGGCAAATCTGACACTCAGGCTTGCTTCCCAGGGGCACAGTCTGAATCTGCACAGAGCAAGATGCTGAGTGGCATCGGGGGCTTCGTGCTGGGGCTGATCTTCCTTGGGCTGGGTGTTTTCATCCGTCGCAGGAGTCAGAAAGGTGAGCTGTCTGGGGGAGATGGGGAAGATGGCCGTGCTTGAAATCCTTTATTCAGGGAGGCTTTGCCTCTAGAGGTAGCTTTTTCCTCCTGTCTCTGAAGGATGGAGTGTAGGTTGGTGATAGGAGGAGGCAGGACAACCTAGGAAGAGACACTGGAATCGGATTTTGCTGATTGAAAAGACAGCCCTGCCCCAAAGCCAGCTGGTGGAGCTCATTCTAGGACTTCCTTCTGCTCACCATCAACTCCTTTCCAAAAGCTTCATCCATTAAGAGTCAGAGTGTTGGTTTTCTTCCACTTAAAGACAGTTTCATTTGTTTCAGGAGAGTTAGCTTAGTGTGGTTGGGGCCTTGTAGAACATGGGTGGGGGAGAATACAGCTCTCCAGTTACATTACATATTTTATTCCCCTCGGGGTGTGTGAGAGAGTGGCTGTTTGTGTAACAAGACGTATCTCTGTGTAACTTCCTTTTGTAGGAACTCGTGGGCCTCCACCTGCAGGTAATGGATGTTTCAGCCCTCATCCAGTGTTGGGGGGCAGGGGCACAGGTATACGAGAGAGCGGTGCATTGTGGGGTAGGTGCACCTGGAGCAACTGTTCCAGTTCATGGCCTCTTCCCTGCTGGGGGGATCAAGAATGAGAGGCGATCACCAGTGTATTAGGGAGCTCCAGAGATTTTCCCCAGAACCTGGTGGCATCTTTCTGTGAAACTGCTAGCCTGATCCCTGTCTTGGGTATCAGAGGCCAAGGTGATGGCCACTTGGTGGCACATAACGGTGGCTGCTATCGCTAGGCGTTTGCTGGTGACTTAAACAGGCTCTAGTGGAGGAAGGAAGGTGAGTCACCATCCAACTCACTAAAAAGAGTGAACCCTTCATTTTCCCCAGGAGGGTGGTAGCTGCCCACCCCGTCCAGCTGAGGTTCCGTGTGTCCTCTTCAGCTGATTTCACTTTACACAGATATTGGGGAGGTGATGGAAGTACGCCCTGGACCTCAGTGTTTCCTGTGCTACCCTCTCTCTTCCATAGGGCTCCTGCACTGACTCCTGAGTGTATTCTGACTGGGATTGGCTATCGCTCTTCTGTAAGGCCTGCCTGTTCCACCTCAGAGTCCCCGCCACAACTGTCTGTCCTCTTCTGAGATCGGAGTCCTGCAGTGGCTCCATTGCAGCTGCCACCTTAGCTGTGACTGCTCCTAAGGATCTGGGCTGCTGCCTCCTGTACTGTCCCCGGAGCCTCTGCCTGTGCACTGCGGCAGGATCTATTCAGACCCTGCGGACTTTCTCTGCTCCATTGTCCCCTACAGAGTGCTCAAGAGAAACATGGAAACCATCTGCCTGGCTCTAGAGCTTTTTTTCATAATTAAACATGATTTTGAGTTATCTGTATCCTAAGTCTCCTTAACTAAGCAGAGAGAAGAAAGCAATACAGAATGAAAGGAACTTGTTTTGAGATGACCCAACAAGCCTGTCACCAGAAGCAAGCTAGAGGCAGCGTGGGTGTCATGGAAGGGTGGGCCACGGAGATAGGAAGTCAGCTGGTGCACCCGTCACGGTTCTTAGTCTTGCTGCTCTGTGCATCGGCCTTACACTTTCCCAGCCTCCTTTCCAGGCCACTAAGTATTGTGTAAGGAAACACAGTGGAACTGTTCGGGGATAGATAGAGTGACTTCTGCTCACTGATGTTTCAGATACATCCCGGCCAGGCACAATTGATCAAAGCTAATTTTTGAGAAACTATAAAGAGCCATAAAAATGGTATTTGTCATTCCAAATAATAAAAATCCAACTCAAATTTATTTTGTTTGTTACAAGGAAACCCAATGACCAGTTGATTTCAGAAGTTACTAGACCTAGGTATTCAATGAAATCTTCAATTTTCTTGGTGTTTATCTACACATCTTTCCCTTCTGATGTCTGTCTTTGTTCCTGTATATTTTTCTTTTTTTCCATTAAGTTTATTTGTACATTTTAGGCATACAGTGCAGTTACATTCACCATTGGGATCTTGTACCTTTACGTGAAGTATCTTGGTTCTTTTTTTTCCCCTTCCCCTGCCCTCCCTTCACCCCCTCCACCCTCCCCTATTTACAAAGACTTTGTTTCCATTTTTTTCCTTTTCTCATATTTTTCCTTTTCCCTTCTTTCCTTTCCCTTACCCCTCCCACTTCCCCTGCTCCTTTAGACCTTTTCTTCCTATCTCACGATATAAAATTTACATTTTGATTCTTATTTACACTTTTAGTTTTTCACACCAGAGAAACTATTCAGCATTTACACGTGTATCCTATTTATTTCACTTTAGAATATGGCCTCAATGTGCATCCACTTAGCTGTAAATGTCTCTAGTTTCTCATTCTTTTTTTTTTTTAAGGTCATTGATGTTACTATCATTCAGAATAGAAATGTATGCAAAAAGAGAAACTTGCTTTACAATTATAAAACAGAGTACCAAAATTTCTAATTTGTATTTTATCTTTTGCAAAAATAAATCCAACTTAAAGTGGCAGACTGGGAAGGTATTTTAACACTTTCAGAATGCTCATTATTATGAAATCCTGAAAAATTCAAATCATCTGCAGTCAGAATTTTGTTACATGTTGAACTTTTCCATTAAATCTTGAGATAGCTGTACCTCTGTCATCTCAAATACAAAATGATAGCTGGACCAAAGTCATTCTTACAGTAAATCTTAACATTAGGGCAAACCTTGATATGTAAATTATTTTAGGAGGTCCTCAAAGTATAGATCTGTTTTTAAGAATTGGTATATTTTTAAAATCTCAGGTAAGTTTCAAAAATAAGAGAAGTTTGCACAATATGCAGTCATATTTCCAATCACAAATAACTTTTGTCCCACATCTTTCTGAAAAACAAGCAAATTTTAAAGTTTTAAGTGATATATGAAATAGTTATAAAATTCTCAGTATTTTGTGGTATGTAGGCTTAAAACAGTACAATTAGTACATAGAACTTATCCAATTTGCTTGTGCAACAATCCTGTCGTTAAAGTCAAATTGTTCATTTGAGAAAAAGTATGTTTTAAAAAAGGATGGAGGTAAAAGCTTTGTTTCTTTAAAACTTTTAAATATTGAGTATTTTTCCATATTCTCCAACTCAAAACTATTATACAGTGGTCACAGATAGAATTCAGAAGTTTTCAGGAAAGAGGATTAAAAACTAGAAAACAAGTTCTAGAGAAAAAAATAGGGTTTTAAAAAAAAGTTCAACTGTAAGACAGTTAAATGAAATTTTTTAAAAAAGACTACACATCCAAATGATTTTGTCCACCGAAACTAGTGACACCAGGAAACCAATGATGCAAATAATGCTTAAAACATTCTCTTCTGCAGGTCCAGAGGCTATGACACATTCTTTTTCATTTCCCTAGTGGCCTGTTTCTCAAAAAACAACCAAGTTACTAGACTTGGTTTGATGATAAGATAGGTCGTATTAAGCTGCCAAAAATTTTTTTGTGCAACTAAAATGATGAAATGATTGTCTTGCATAATCACAAGCTGACTCTCATAGCATCTCTAAAAGAATTCTAAAAGCATTACGATTTGCAGGATAGCTGTAATGAGCTGTAATGAGTGGTCCTTCCAGGGGATCTACTCTGAAGATCAGCTGATTTGGATGTTAAGGTGACATACTCATTTTAAAATAAAGTTCTACAACTTAATACGTTCATTTCACAGTCTACCATTTTAGTGGTTATCAAAACCTATCTCAGAGAGGGTGTAGACAAAGCTATAAAAGAAATCTGTCATTTTTGTCATTTTCCCATGTGCAGGGAAAATGTTAATACATAAAATGGAGTCTGGAGCTTACATATATAAAATATAAATACCCACATCATCTTTATTTCCTGGTAAGAGATTTTAGTGCTTCACCCATTCTGATAAGCCATGCAGTAACATAGTCTGAAATATATTTTACCCTAATCATATCTTCTTTTACCCCCAATGCATTTTATGCTGACCATTTAGAATTTACAAATGATTAACAGGGAAAGTAGAGGTAAATTTTACGATAAATTATCCTCCAAAGCCACCAACTAACTAATACATGCTTAATTGTTTCAGTGTTGGTCTACTGCCATGGTTTTATAGGAAATGGAAGTCAGCAAATGAAAACCAGTAGCACCATCTACTGCTAATTTTTAAAAAATCTCAGTCTTTCTGGTATTAATTTTTCTCCACCACCACTAGTCCATCATTTAACATAATTTCTCAAACTTCCATCAATTCAACATTTAAGCAAAGTTGTTATGAGTGCTAATAATACCTTGTAAATTACCACTTTACATTTCATGGGATGCTGTAATCAAAAAAGGATGAGAAAAATTCTGCTTTACAACTCTGTATAAAGAAAAGGGAGAAAATAATTTTCTTGGTTATTATAAATTAAAGATCTGAAAAGAATCTAAATAGGCATTTATAAGCAAGCTCTGCTCTAAAATCAAGCTTTGATCCTTATTTTGTAAACGGCATCTTCCTCTTACATGTAGGAGCCAACCAAAGCAAAGCAACTTTATTAAGTCAGTTCTTTCTCATCTGCTCTGTTGAGTGTTTCCTTTCTTGTAGCAACCTAACACCACGTACAATGCCAGGCATCTCCCTACTCTTTGTTATCACATATAAACATATATATATCCTTGCTTCTCAATAACTGAATAAATGAATACTCAGAAATAGACACCTGAGATTCTGGCAAAGTAAAAGCAAATTCCTGTCCAGATACAGTGGGAAAGTAAATCCTACTACCAAACTTTAATTTGTGGAAATATTTTCCCATTTCTACAGTGTATTACTATATAAGGGTTAAAGGAACAAGAGCAATTTTCTTATTCTCTCTATATTTGGCTACCGCAATCCTTTTGTTACTAGACTGACAGGAAATCATTTGATATGGAAGACTAGTTGAGGAATTGTGTTTCATTTCCTTATATAGATAGGACTCAAAAATCATGACTTCAAGTTTTATTTCTGAACCAGCCCACAGTGGTTACTATTACCTATTCTGTGTTCTAAAAGGTTTGCTCTAAGAAAATTAGCTAGCTTTTGTTGCCATGTATAATTAAACATTACCAGTAAACATTTGCTTCTGTCAGGCTCTCCTGTTAATTCTACTGTTGGTGCTTAGTACATTAACTGCTAGAAATGAAATGGAGAAAAAGGCAGTTTCTAGTGATCCAAATTGTAAAAGTATTAAACTGTATCACTCACTGCTCTGCTTAGTGACAAAAACCAACTTATTTTCTTTTCTAGCATTTTTAATCTATTCAGAGAAAGCACTTCTACAAGCATGTTTCTAACTGGATGAATGGTACATATTTCTAACTGAAGAAAGCAAATTTACCAAAAATGATAAGACTAAAACTGAAAGTCTGAAAGGGTATTTCTCAAGAACAAAACTGAAGTGAAAAAATTACTATTTATTTTTAAAACTAAGTTTCTGAACTTCTAATTGGTAGTACTAATCCACTAGAAAGTCCTGGCAACTAAAATTTTAACTACTGACTTAGCATTTTCATTGTTTGCTATCAGTGCAAAGAAAAAGATTCATTTCACAATAGAAAAATCAGAAGTCAAAATGCTTCAAATTGGGGCTATAATATGCAAAGAAGGTACTATACATCATTTTAAAATGACAGGAAGTACCAGCTCCATTCACTGAATGGAAATGCTAAAAAAGTGATCAGTTTTCCCCAAACAGTCCTTAAATCCATGCTTAATGTCTTTCCCTAAAATTAATAATCTATTTTTAACTTCTCATGGAAGTTGATTCCTAAAAGGAAGTCTCTAAGATTCTGTTTATAAGTAATTGATTAAAATCTTAACATCATTCTATTCAAGGGTTTTAAAACAAAACTTTCTAGAACTTAATTCCAAATATTTAATTCCATCCCTAACTCCCCATACAAACTAATCCCCTTCCCTAGCCAAAAACACTCTTCTACCCCTACTCTTCAAAGTAAGTGGTTATTCTGCAGACTTACAGCTCATTTGGCAACTGCTAAGAAACCTTACAGTTGAGCATCACCTCTGAAGATGGCAATCCTATACATAACCTGAAGTTTAACACCCACAGTGCAGTTAACATGTAGAAAGAAGCCAAAATGCAATAGATACTACATTTTAACACCCTCAAGTTTCAATATCACAGATATTAAGAATGGAAAAAGACTTGCATATAGTACTTTAAGCATTTATTGAACAGAATATATTATTGTCAATATAAAAATAATTAAGAAATACTAATTTTTTTTGCATACCTTTACAAATGTTTCTTCAATGTAGTAAAAGCTGGAGAACACCAATTTAGGTAAACTATGGCTTTTTATTTTTGGTACCGGGGATAGAATTCGGGTCCTTGCACTTGCGCAG